TTGCGCTCATCCTCCCTTCGTCTCACCCTCCTTTTTTCTCATCCTCCCATCCTCCCTCTCTTCCCTCCCCCCTCCCTTCCTCCTGTCCTCCCTTCCTCCCTTCCTTTCTTCCTCTCTTCCACCCTCTGCCCTACTCTCTGCTTCAGTGTCTTTCTCCCCTCTCTTTCCCCTTTCCTCCCTCCCTTCATCTCATCCTCTCTTCCGCCCTTCCTCCTTGTCTCCCTTGCTCATTTCTCCCTCCTCATATTCCCTGTTCCCTGCGTCCCTCGCTGCCATCCTCCCTTCCTCTCAGCCTCCTCACTTCCTCTCGTCAACCATTCCTCCGCACCCTTCTACCCTGCCACGCCTATACACTCCTACCTTGTTCTAGGGGCTTGTTTCTTGTTGCCTGCCTGCCCTTGCATTGTCATTGTTTTGTATCCTTCCCCGCTGCTTCGACTCTTGGCACATTAGATTTTGTGGTTCGTGTTTGTGCAGGTCTGCCATGTATCTAGCTGTGATGCCTTCACTCTTTGATGATAGTGGTATGACAAATAGCCATGCCATGTATGTTGGATGCTTCTCATGATACAACACTTTGGGCCTCGGAGCAGCCATGTACGTGAGCACGACCATGAAATGCAACAAAGCAAGAGATTTTCTTCCTTACAGTTGTCGCCAGTGGACTACAGGCACAATGCACAAATCTGGAAGGTGGTAACTTTCCATCCCACTCCTGTTGGGACCCATGGTGCTGGGCACCTGTACAAGCATGGTTCTGTGATAGAACGGGGAGGGAAGAGTGGGTATGGCGAATAAGCAAGGGCTGGAGGTTGGAGGTACAGAAGGGCATGTATAGCTGTGGAGCGAAAGGCAGTGCGGATGGTGGTGGTGCTGCTGCTGCTCGGGCTGTTGCTGTTGCTCTAGGAGTTACAACTGCTGCTACTTCTGCTGCGCCAGCTGCGCGCCTTTCTCCCTCCCCCTCCTCCTCCTCCTCCTGCTGCCGTGTCAAGAGCGGCTCCCTCAGCACGTCCCCAGCACCGCCAGCACTCGCAGATGCGGGCACATGGGGTCCCTTGCGCGCCGAGTCAGAGGAGGCACCTTGCGCAGAGGGGCGTCGCGAGGAGCAGCGCTGTGACGCTGGTGCCAGGGAGGCTGCCAGACCCACCGGGCTGCGCAGGGCGGACGCACCAGCAGCACCAGCAGCAGCACTGCCTCTGGCACCTGTGCCTGCAGCTGGAGAAACGGGAGCAGCGGCGGCAGCAGGAGCAGCAGGCGCAGCAGTGAGATTGAGTGCAGGAGGCGGGGGCGAGGCGCCAATGGTGAAGGCAGGAGAGGGCGGGGAGAAGGTGGATTGAGGGAACACCAGCCTGGCCCTTGCAGGCGCCAGCGCGACCGCCGAGTCAGAGGAGGGGGGGATAGAGCCGGGCGGAGGGTTACCCTCCCGTGCTGCTGGAAATCCCCCCCTGCTGCTGACCGCCCATGGGGCTGCTGCTGCCCCCCATGCCTTGCACTGCAAGGAACGCACCCGACGACGCACCACCGGCGCCCATGCTGCTGCTCCCCTCCGTCGCCCAGTACGCTCCCGAGGCACCCTCCATCGCACCACCGCCACCCGTGCCCATGCCCACGAGCAAGGGCATGGCTAGCGCGCCTCCCACTCCCCCTCCCCCTCCCCCTCCGCCTCCTCCTCCGCCTCTCAGTGAGGGAGCTGACGCGGCTGATGTCTGACAGCAGAGAGTCGTAGCTCTCGCTCCGCTCCAACACTCCCCGCCCCCCCCCCCGCGTGCCCTCCCTCTCCCCCTCCCTCCCCCGCCTGTCCCCCCCCAGACGCGCCTCGTCCTCGGGGAAGCTGCCCAGCATCATTGCCCGCTCCTCCCTCCCCAAGCTCCGTGCGGGGGAAGCGAAGGCTCCGCGCGGGGAAGCGAAGGCTCCGCGCGGGGGAAGCGAAGGCTCCGTGCGGGGGAAGCGAAGGCTCCGCGCAGGGGAAGCGAAGGCTCCGCGCGGGGGAAGCGAAGGCTCCGCGCGGGGGAAGCGAAGGCTCCGCGCGGGGAAATCGAAGGCGACGGGGGGGAGAAGCGAAGGCGACGGGCGGGATAAGAGAAGGCAACGGTCATCCGAAAGCGAAGGCGGCGACGGGCGGGGGAAGCGAAGGCGACGGGATGGGGCCGCGAATGCGATGGGCTGCGGAAGCGAAGGCGACGACGCGGGCGATGGACAGAGGAAGCGTGGGACCCGGGTGAAGGAAAGCGAGGGCGAGGGATGGTTACGCTTGGCCGAACGTGAGGGTTATGCGAAACCTGCATTTTTACACCATATCTCATCGCACGCCGCTCAATATCCTTACGCTTCGAACTCACATTCCGCACCACACACCATCGCATCGCGCCTTGATCGCTCTAGAGTCAACGGCTACGCCCTGCCTACACGTATTCTATATTATGCCTAGTTTTAGTCTGCTGCTAGGATTGTCAAAGTGTGCAGAGTTTGGTAGGCACGCTCAACTCTGGTTGTGGGAAGCACGCCATTCATCACAGGTCTTCTTCCAAGCGACACAACTTTGTTGCAAACTGGTTTCGCGAGTGAAAGGGTTTCGCAGCCAAACCGAACCTCTTCCGAACCTAGTTTTTTGGCGTTGACTTCCGTTGAGTAATTCAGGTCTTGGGCTTTAAGGGTCCGCACACACCCGAAGCTGTTCTTCAAACGACAGTGAGCTCAAACTTCGAGCCTTGTGTCAGAAACAGGTTTGTGCGAATTCAAGCCACATCAATAAACCAATCAAACGCGTCAATATGAATGCCAAACCTCTCGACAAAGTGCGGACTAAAACCAGCCAATCGCGTCAACTGATGTGAGAGATTCTGTCTGTTGGCATGTTGCGGCCAGGAAAGCCTTGTTTCCCCCGCAAACCAGGTTACAGGTTTCCTCGAGGACAAACCATTGTAAATTGGTGCGAAACATCTGCACGAAGAGCCACCTTCGTAAACATGGGTTGACAAACATGCGAAGAAAAACCAAAAGCGAGTATGCGAAGATGGATATTCTCGCGCATGTCCACTGACCTTGGTATCAAAAGGGTGATCCACCCACGATGCCCTTGGCCCTTGTCTGCGAGAGGTGAACCCAAGAAGCCCTTTCTCCCTGCCCCAGCCAGCCACACGCGCGCGGCTACTGTGAGCAGTTCGAGCACGCCCCGAGCTTGCAGGATTCCCGCACTCCCCAAGATCTCCGCACTCCCCAGGCTCCCCGCACACCCCCAGACTCCCTTCTGTACACTACCAGGCTTGTTGCACACAGCCGCACTATCCGCGCTCCCCCCTCGCTTTTCCCCTCTGCCCCTTTCCCCCGCCCTCCCACTTTTGTAAAAGCTCCACACCCACCCGCTTCACAACAGCGTTCGCGCAAATTCTTCGCACACTGTGCATTTCCAACAGTCGCACGGTTCTTTACGAAGTCGCGGGCTCCCCGTCGCAGCTTCCATCTAGTCGTACAGCCGTCGCAAAAACTATGTTTCGCAGTCGCATGCTCGAGCCCTTTTTCTCGACTTTATGAAAGCCCTACAGACCGTTTCTCCATCATTTATTCCCTCCATACCTACGCTACCCTACTATCTTTGATCGTTTCTCGTCCTCGCCCTCCGCTTTTCGCGCCGTCTTATTCTGCTTCTCCTCGCGCTGAGGTGATGCCGTTCGCGCCTCGCGGAGAAACCTGTGCATTTGCGACCAGACGACAAGCATCCTCTAGGCGCTTCAAGCATTGAGCTTGTTTACCGCGGGGGGCTTCCGCAAAGCACCTCCAGCAGCTCATGCCATCGCAAAGTCTTCTCAAGAGCACGCATCCGTGCGTTCTTCGCGTCGAATCCCTTCAGTAACGCTCTCTCGCCAAAAGACCCGCGTCGCCTGCGAACCACAACCGCGGAATCAACGGCAACGGTAACGTCTCCTGCCATCTGCTCCTCTTGCGAGATCGTATCTTCGTCAGCGCGTTTCTCGCGCGTCAGTCGCGCGTTATCGTCGTTGTCTCCTTTACCCTCACGCGCATTGATCTCGGCTTCGCTTCGCTTCTCGCGCATCACCGTCGATCTCAACACTTACACCTACAAAGGGACCCGTCTAGGCTTGCTGGCCGCTTGACTTCTCCGCTCATCGCTCGTCGCTCGTCGCTCGCTGCTCGTCGCTCGCGAAGAAAGGCCCCAGACGCGACCGCTCCACTACTTTCAACTCGATTCCCAAGATCTGTCGCGCGTATTCCCCGTTCCCCTTTCCTCTTTCCCCTCCCGGTTTTTCGAAGCTCGGCACTAAAGAACACTCTCTCGAGTGCGCTTTCCCATTGGTCCGCACTGTATCGAACCGCTAACGGACGACTTCCGTACGAGCCTTCGTAGCGTTTTTGAGCCAGCACTAGCTTTCGCGAACGAGCGCCCCGGCGACCCCTTCTGGTTCGCGAACGCCGCGGTTCACGCTCCTGCTCACGCTCTTGCCCAAAAAAGGGTTGCCAACTACCGCATCGGACGGCTCCCCTGCCGATCTGTAAAGCGCGCCGCCGTGGCTACGGCTACTATGGAAGCGTGTGAAGTAGCGAGCGTCGTTCTCCCTGTGGACCAACTGGGAGGCTCCGGCGGCGGTAGCGGCGCCGGGGGAGAAGGAGTGGGGAGCGGCGGCGCTGGCGGGAGTGGGAGCAGAGGCGGGAGCAGTGGCGGGGAGGAAGAGCGCGTAGTGCGGCGCGTTGTGGTTTGCGAGGAGTTAAGATGGGGGCAGAAGAAGCGATTGAGATACGTGCGTAACCCGACTGCAGCGGCGCCGGCTGCAGCGGCGACTGCGGCGGCGGCAACTGCAAGCAATAACTCGTCTCCGGCAGCAACGGCGACGGCAACGGCGTCGCCTGGCGTTCGGGCGCGGAATTCCGACGACGCGCGTCGCGCAACTCAGGCTGGAGGCGGAAAAGGCGGAGGCGGGGGCGCATCGTCGCCTGGCAGCGCCGCGCACGACTGGGAGCCCAAAAAGTCTCGCAAGAACGGAGTCATGGCGACTCCCGCATCCAACGCCGCAAGAGACGGCGACGACGGCGGCGGCGGCTCGGATCGGGTGGATAGTCGCTGCGGCGGCGGCGGCGTTCGTGCGGGCACGGGGAGGAGCAGGAGCGCTAGCGCAAGCGGGAACGGAAGCGGAGAGGGGAGTAGGAGCGGGGGAAGTAGCAGCGGCGGAGGCGCGGAAGATGAGGATGAGAAGAGCGGCGCGGAGGGGTCGAATGGTAACTCCGCGTCACCGGCCGCGCCGCAAGCTCACAAGAGGTGAGCAGCGGCAGCGGCGCCCGCGCAGGCGCAGGCGCAAGCGCTTGCGCGCAAAGTTGAACGTACTCGTTATGAGTCGCACTTGCTGGAACGGGTTTTTTCCGCGTCCCCCGCTCCCGTTCTCTCGTCCGCACACTCCCGCACTTCCCCGCATCCCGCTTCCCCCTCCCCCCTCTCCCGTCCCGTCCCGCAAGTTCCGCTACGTCTCGTCGGCTCCTCGTTTGTTCTCGTGTGTCTCCGCCCTTCCGCATCCCTTTCCCCCAACCGACACACGTGCGCATACCACTCGCCATTGCCCCCACCCTTTCTCCCCCGATTCTCCCGTCCCCCCATCCTCTCCGCCTGCTCTCACACTCAAGCTTCCGCTCATCCTCTCCCCCTCCCCCGCCCCCCGTTCTCCGTCCCCGCCCGCACCCGTCCGCTTCGCTCCGGCGCCCCGGATCTTCCGCCCGTCAGGCACAAGGACTCCGCCAACGGCGCGCAAACCCCGCCGCTCGCCCGCGCAAGCGCGGGTGCTCACAACGAGAGAGAATCAGCTGTGACTAGGGAGGGGTCCCGACTTAGAGGGGGCGGGGATCGGGGGGAGAAGAGTGAAAGAGCGGAGAGAGCGGAGCGAGCGGAGCGGGGGGAAAGGGGAGAAAAGCTGGAACGAGCGGGGAGCGCGGCGAATGTAGCGGTTGGCAAAACCGCATCGGAAAAAGCGGGTGGGGCGGCGGCGGCGGCGCAGGGAGAGGGGAACAGCATCGCGAGTCGCGCGGGCACTCGCGTCCCGAGTACCAGTAATGCGTCGCACGCGTCCCACGAGGGAGAGCCGGACGTCGCACACAGGCAGTCGCAGCATCCCGCGAACCTTAGGCGGAGGCACGCCGCGGCGGGGACGGGCGGGGACGGCGCGTCAGGATCGGGCGCGCACGGAGGAGCGAACGGGATCGCGGCTGGCGGAACAGGCGGAACGGGCGCGGGCGCTGGGACCCGCGCTGCCGCTGCCGCAGCGGCGGCGGCGGCGGCGGCGGCGGCGGCTGCGCAAGGGAACGAGGAGTTGAGAGACGGTCGCGGCGGGGCACGCGCCGCATTAGACGGAAACAGTCACGAGCATAACGGAACGGAAGGGCGACACTCATCGCAGCAGCACAAGGGGGAGCAGAAGCAGAAGCAAGAGCAACAGCAGAAGCAGCAGAAGCAGCAGAAGCAGCAGCAGAAGGGGGAGCACAAGGGGGAAAGCGCGTACACAATGCATCCTCCCCCTCACCACCCCCAACCCCCCAACCATCACCACCACCACCACCACCACCATCACCAGAGCAACAACAACAGCAACAGTCACGGCAACCACAGCAGCCACCCAACAATGGATTTGCGGCACCATCACCATCACAACCACCATCACCATCCGCATACCCATCACCCCCAACACCCGCACGGCCCTTCCCAGCCCGCGGCGGCGGGGGGCGTGCACGGGTCCGCGGGCGCGGGCGGGGGTGGGGGCGGGGGAGGGGGCGCGGGGGGTGGGAGCGCGGAGATGGCGGAGGTTCCACGGTTCCTGCTGAGCCTGTCGCGGAGCGAGAAGGAGGACGACTTCTGGGCGATCAAAGGGGGGAAGCTCCCGCAGCGGCCCAAGAAGCGATCTAAGCTCGTGGAGAAAGGACTGCAGGTGAGAGGCATGGGGGGATGAGAGGAGGTGGGGGAGGAGGTGGAAGGGAGAGGAAGGGGAAGGAGGGAAGAAGAGAAAGCGGAGAGGAAGGAGGAAGGGGGAGAAGGGGAAACGGGGGGTGTTTGGATTGAGAGTAAGTGGAATTGATGTTAGAGCGTTGGACTTTTGAGGCGCCTCAAGTCGGTTGTCTCAAGTCGGTTGCAGATGGAGGGAGGAAATGGTATAGCCGGTGTTTGGAAATGGTCCCAAGTACCTTGCTTTCTCTTGCCCTCATGTCCCATGTCCTGTCGCAAGAGAAGAAGCATGGTTGCATGCAAGTGGTAATGCCTCCCTCAGTCTCCCTCAGTTCCTTTCCCTCGGCTCGACCTCTATCTCTCCCCCTATTTCTCCCCTCCCTCTTTGCCCCCAGCACTTCCCCCCCCGCCCCGCCCCCCTCTGCTCTCTGGCTGCCGTTCCTGCAATCTTCTCGCCACACTCGCGTCCCTCATTCCCTCACTCGCTCTCCTCTCCCCACCCACACTCACTTCCCTCCTCCCTCACTCACGGCCCTCCTCCGTCTCCTTCTCCCGCCCCATCCCCATCCCCATCCACATCCCCAGCGCCTCCTCCCCGGTGCATGGCTGACAGGCGTGAGTCGGGAACGGTACGAGGTCCGCGAGAGAAAGTGCACCAAGAAGGTCCGCACCCCATCCCCACCACCCCCTCTCTCCCACCCTCTCTCTCTCTGTCTCTCTCACGCACATCCACACAACAACTCACTCTCTCGCTCACTGTCCCCTGCCGTATTCCCACTGTATCGTATCATGGCATGTGGCATAGCTTGCTGCCTCCCCTTTGTGCCACCATGTGCTGTCAACACCCCAGCTCTCTGTGTCCCTGGGCTGACACATGCCTATGAGTAAACTGAAAGAGCATCTTGCAGACCACGTCACGTGTGTTGAGACGATCCTTGAGGCGCCTAGAAAATTCAGACCATGATGCCTCATTCTCTTTTGCCCCCCATTGCTGCCTCATTGCTGCCCTGTCCGTCCGTCCATTGATTGCCTCCTCAATCCGTCTAGAAACCCTCCCGCCTCAATTCTCAACCCGCCCTTGCCATTTCTACTGCATTCCTGCTACCACTCTTGCTGTCCTGCAGAAACCGCGTGGGCTCAAGGCAATGAACGGGGCGGAGAGCGACAGCGACTGAGCGACTGCACGCCGTGCTTGGGTGACAAGAACAAGGGCAGCAGCAGCAGCAGCAGCAGCAGCAGCAGCAGCAGCAGCAGCAGCAGCAGCAGCAACAGGTGCAAGGGCGACAGGAGAAGGAGCAGGAGAAGGAGAAAGAGCAGGAGCGAGAGACAGAGCAGGAGCAGGAGCAGGAGCGAGAGCAGGAGCAGGAGCGAGAGCAGGAGCAGGAGCGAGAGCAGGAGCAGGAGCATCACATTTCTGGAGGGCTGCGTGCTGGCACGTTTACATCTGAAGGCAGAGGGGACAGGACGAGCAGAGCAACCAGCAGCACAAGGGGCAACAGGAGGAGCATGCAGAGCACAAGGGAGAGAAAGAGAGCAGAGCTTTCCAGGACAGAATCATCAGCAGCAGCCTGTCAGTCGCCAAGGCGCCTGCTCCTCCCCCCACCGTGCCTTCTCCTCGCCTCGCCCCGCCTCGCCTTGCCCGCGCCCCTCCTCTCTCCGTTGTGCTGTCGTGCGTATAAGGAGTCTCCATCCAAAGGACCTGCTGCGCCCCCGGCTCATTCTTTTGAGTCGACTCAAAAGTCACCTCGCCTTGCCTGCGCCCCTCCTCTCTCCGTTATCCTGTCTTGCGTAAAAAGAGGAGTCTCCAAAGGACCTGCTGCGTGGTGGCGGTAAATGGAACACGCGTTATTATGTATCTCAACTGGTTCATTTGCTGCGCTTTAAGCAGATACGCATCCCTACACTTCGCTTCACCTCTCTCCCGTCAGCATGATCCCTCCCCTGCTGCTATTCTCGCTTCTCTGTTTCAAGGCCTGTGGATAAAAGAGGCAGGAGCTGGCATCGTTGAAGCCAGCAGCAATCGAAGCAGCAGCACCAGAAGTGATACCATCAGTGACAGCAGCAGCAACAGGAGCAGGAGCAGGAGCAAGAGCGGGAGCAGGAGCGGGAGCAGCAGCAAGGAGCGGGAGCAGGAGCAAGCAAGAGCGGGAGCAGGAGCGGGAGCAGCAGAAAGCAGGTGCCGTATGACCTTTCTCAATAAACAAGCCAACAAGCCTTTTTAAGACGAGGGAGGAGCACCTGAGGATTGGGTAACCAGAAGAATATCACAGGTGCAAAGTAAATTGTGAAATGCCACAAGGCATAGCCAACGTGCTGCTGCGGAGCGCAATAAATGAGGTGTCGGTGTTGGGAGCTGCAGCTACTGTCTGAGTGTGAGGTTCGTGTTCGGAAGCCTCCCTTTTATTCCCTTACCCGGGCCCTGCTGCTGGACAGATGCTGTAATGCTAACTTGACCGATGCTAATCAAAGCAGGTTCTTCTGCACTTGTCGCTGTCTTGAATCTCAATCAAGACCAAGTTGGGCTTGGTATGTTGCAGGTACTGTATGACTTACGTCATGGAGTTTGCTTTGCGCCCCATGATGCTGCTTTCTGGTCTCTTCGAATAAGTTGGGTGCTAATCTTGAATGGCAAGTGTTGTAGGAGTAGGATTTAGGGTGGACATAGTGCTTTGTTGTGTACGTTAGGTACTGCCTGTAAAGCTGTTGTATCATTGGTCCAATGTCCAGGAACATGGAAATCCCTGAGTAGAGTATAACCAGGACTTCAAAAGCAAGATTCCACACACAGCCATAGTTGCATAACTTCAGCGTTAGCGCGTCTGGTCAGTAAACGGAACACCAGCACCCCCGAACCCCACACCCGCAGAAAGCGTTGTGGGAGGGGCTTCCATAACGCGTACGAGCTGGATTCTCCATTTTCCTCCTCGAAAAAACGACCTGTTCCCAAGCAGCCTCCTCGAAACCACAACCAGTCTTCCTTGTTCTGCTCATCGCGAGATCCTGCTGAAGTGCTCTGCATCGCTGGTGTGGTGGTAAATGTTTGCTGGGAGCTTGCTCATCCAGTGGCGGCGGTGTGTGATAGAGAGCAAGCAGTGTCGCTCACGCGAGTCGACTCGTCAATTTGGAGGAAACGACTTCGAAGATCTCAGCTCGTGAGAGGAAAAAGTCGTGGTGCGGTTTGTGCAACCCTGTGAGGGGAAGTACGCTACTCACTGTGCAACCCTGTGAGGGGAAGTACTCGGATCTGTCTGCTACTCACCGCCGCTGATGAACTGAGCACGAGTGTTTGAAGTTGGAAATTTCGTTTATCTCGTTACGGAATCCGCCGCGGCGTACGCGGCGTCGTTTTCCGGTTTAAGTGCACGTTCTTGCGAAGGTGTTGTCCACGTGGATCCAGTTGATTCGTCAGCAGTTTCTCGTCAGCCCTGAACGGACATCTCGTCCGTCTTGGTGTCGCGATCCGTCGGCTCTTTAGGAGGCGTAGAGAGCGAGGAGCGAGGACTGTACGGATTGGACGATCAGCTTAGCTTCGTTCAATACAAGCTGCTTTATCAGTTTTGTTACAGCACGGCTATATCAGTTTTGGAGTATCAGACGGTTCCGAGGATTCGTCGAATTTCGCGATCCGTCGGAGTTGCAACGTCGCCGATGCCATTCTGACACGTGTCGTATTCGATCTGAAGGTAGATCTCCTCCGTCTTCCTCTTCTCCTTTCTTGTTCCATTTCTCCCTACCTTTTCCCTCCCAACCCACCCTCCCTTCGTCATTTACCCCTCACATCCTTCCCCTTTCCTCCCCCTCCCCGTTCCCTCTCTCCCTGTGCCTCTTAGCTTCTATATCATATGCCGCATCTCATAGTATGATTTATTCCTTAGCCAACCTCGCCAAGCTTTCTAAGCTCGCCAAATCATCTCGCATCGTTACCTCGTTCTTGAATCTATTGCCTTCCGCGCCTTTCCTTGGCCTGTAATCACGAAAATTCTCTCGGCTTTGCCCGCCTCTGCTTCTCACTGCTTCTCCAGCAGCCCTGCAGGTTCCCTACCGCTCCTGCTCCTGGTTCCTTTGTGTCTTGCGAAAGCCCGCCTAAGCAACGCAACGCGTGCGAGCGAGCGGATTTCGAAGCAGATCTGACCGAGCATCCATACAGCCTCGACGGCAGCATCACCATCAGGGTCAGCGTAGCGTCAGCATCGTGAGCAACAGGAGCAACAGGAGCAGCAGGAGCAGCAGGAGCAACAGCCTCACCAGGAGGGCGAACGCCTGTGGCAACGGTACGCGGCGCGCCATGGACGGCAACAGGGAAGCGGGGGAGCGGTGCGTGGAGGTGGCGAGAGCCGCTCTAGCTGCCGGCGATAAAGAGCGGGCGCTCAGATTCCTGCACAAGGCGCAGCGCCTCTACCCCTCCCCGGAGGTGACGCCTTAGCGGGGAACATAGACGATGGGGGAATTGTAATAGCGGGGATTTACACAGATGATTGGGGAATTCTAAACTTGAGACTCGGGATGAGCTGAGATTCAATGAATTTGGATCTGAGTCTACCGAATCCCCTTCGCCCGCTGACAGTATCTCCTCTTCTTGTATCACTCTCTATGCCGTTCAGCCCGAATTCCCATCGCCCTCGCCACTCATTCGTCCTGCAGACCATTCTTTTGAGTTCGCGACTCGCAGCTCAAGAAAAGAGATCTTTCCTGCGATTGAGTGCTCTTTCTCGTCGGAATTATTATCTTTTGTTTTCATCAGTTTCACACCCCACGCCCTCTCAAATCTCGCCGCCTTCTCTTATTCCCCTCTTTCTCCATCCCCCGTTCCTTGCCCATATCGCCATCGCTCCCTTCTTCCGCTTCCCCCTTCCCCCTTCCCCCTTGCCCCCCGCATTCTCTGCAGGTTGCGTCACTTCTAGCGCAAGTGGCAAGCTCTCAGGCGGAAAAAGCTGGTCAAGCGGAGGGCCGGGGGGGGGCAGCGGCTGGCGCGGGCGCCGCCCGAAACGCGGAGGGCGCGGGAGAAGGGGGAAGGCGCGAGGGGGCGGGAGCGGGGCCGAGCAGCAGAGCGGGGGGGGAGGAGGGGGGAGCGGATGGATCGGGAACGAGACAAAGGAGCAGAGGACAGGGCTCGAGAGAGGCAGAGGTGGGAGCGGTTGATGAGAGGCGTTGGGAGGCGAGAGGGGGGGAGGCGGGAGGGCAGATCGAGGAGGTTGCAGGCGAGAGCTAGGGATTGGGAGGTGAAAGAGGGGCGAGAGAGAAAAGGGGGAAAGGGGGATCCACGTGGTAGCTGCCCCGGCCCACCTGATTGTTGTTGGGTTTTCCCACTCTTGGTGAAACGAGAGACCTTCCTATATTTGTGTGACTTTTGAGAATTCTCAAAAGTCTCCCTGCCTTTCTTGTTCTCTTCTCCGTAACCCCGCTTTCATCCGCCACGCATCTTACCCGCCCCCCTTGTTCTCTCCCGCCCGCCCGTCATCCTCCCGCCCCGATTCTTCCGCCCCTTGTACGTACGAACGCGCGTGTCCGCGCACGCAGCAGGGCGAGGGCGCGCCCGCGACGGCGGAGCAGGCGCAGCTGGTAGCGCGCATCCTGCGCACGTCATGCTACTACGAGGTGCTGGAGCTCCCTCAGACTCTCCCCCCATCTTCCCCCCCTCCTCCCCCTCCTCTCCCCCACTCTTTCCCCCCTCCCCCCTCCTCTCCCTCTCTTTCCCCTCTTCCCCCCCTCCTCCCACGTCCCCCTTCCTCTCCCCTCCGTTCCCCCCCGCCTCAACCCCCCTGCTCGCAGCAGAGCGAGGGCGCGCCCGCGACGGCGGAGCAGGCGCAGCTGGTGGCGCGCATCCTGCGCACGTCGTGCTACTACGAGGTGCTGGAGCTGCCCAAGGGCGCCGCGGAGGACGACGTCAAGAAGGCTTACCGCAAGGTGGGGGGCAGGCAGGGGGGAAGAGTGGGGTAGAAAGGAATGGTGGGGAGGAGAGGAGGGAGCGGGGCATGTTGGGGTTAATAAGGTGCTGGAGCTGCCCAAGGGCGCCTCGGAGGAGGACGTCAAGAAGGCCAACCGCAAGGTATGGGGGGAAGGAGAAAAAGGGAGAGGGCGAGAGGCGGAAGAAAGGAAGAGTTGGGGTGGGGAAGCGAGAGGGAAAGGGGGGGGCAAGGGAAGGTATGGGGGTTGAAGAGGGAGGGGAAGGGAAGGTACGGAGGGTATTGTTTCCTGGAGATGGGAGGGGTGTGTTCGTGGGTTTAATGGGACTGGGGTGTGTGTGTGTTCTGTATGGGTGATTGAGGCTGTGGTAGTCATAAGGGGGAGAGGTGACTTTTGAGTCGATTCAAAAGTCACTTCTGTATGGGTGATTGAGGCTGTGGTGGTCATAAGGGGGAGAGGTGACATTTGAGTCGATTCAAAAGTCACTTCTGTATGGGTGATTGAGGCTGTGGTGGTCATAAGGGGGAGAGGTGACATTTGAGTCGATTCAAAAGTCACTTCTGTATGGGTGATTGAGGCTGTGGTGGTCATAAGGGGGAGAGTATATGATTTGGTTGCATTTTATCCTTTGCCTGTGAATCGTTGCCGTTGTGAATCGAGGGAAGAACAAAAGATGAATGGAGGAGAAAACAAATGAATGGAGGAGTAAAACAAACCGAATGGAGGAGAGAAAAAAAAAAAAGAATGGAGAAGAAGAAAGAAGCAAAAAAAAAAAAAAACTGACGGCTGTGGATTGGAAGCAAGCAGATCAGCTATGGCTGCTGCAAGCAAGCGGGGAAGGATCAGCTATGATCTGCTTGCTTTGAGTCTCCCTGCAAGCAAGACGCCACCATCCTCGTCTCCCCCGCTTTAAGTCTCCCTGCTAACCCCATCCTCCCTCCCTCACCTCTCGTCCCCTCTCCACCTTTTCCCCCATCCCCTCCTCCCCTTCCCTTCCCCCCCTTTCCACAACCCCCGCTGGCGCACTTCTCCCTCTCCCCGTGCCCTCAGCTGTCGCTGAAAGTGCACCCAGACAAGAACAAAGCCAAGGGCGCAGAGGAGGCGTTCAAAGGTAAGCGGTGTTTGCTGTGGGAATGGGAATGGGACAGGAAAGCCGAATGGCGCATGTCTTTTGAGGCAGACACGTCTCAGGACAGGGAGTGGGGCATGGGCATGGGCATGGGCATGGGCATGGGCATGGGCTTGAGCATGGGCATGGGCATGGGCATGGGCATGGGCATGGGCATGGACGTGGGCATGGGCATGAGCATGGACGTGGCTTTTAAAGCACCTCAAAGGAAGGGGGCATGGAGTAGGAATGGGATGAGGACGGGAATGGGGATGGGCATGGGGGTGGGGATACGGATGGTCATGAAGCACCATTTGCTGGCTGGATGGCTGGCTGGCATGGCATGGCATGGCATGGCATGGAATAGGCGCTGGTTACAAGCTGAAGCCATGGCTCCTTCGCTGTTCCTAGACAGACATGACATGACCTGACATAAGTTTGTTCATCCGAGTCACTGTGATGGTGCCATTGTGGTGCATCTGCATGCTCATGTAAACGTCTTCCTTTGAGGACGGCTGTGGCGGTGGCGGTTGCGCTGCCGTATCTCCTCCCCCCATGTTCTCCCGCACCTCTTCCCCTGCGGTGGCGGTGGCGGTTGCGCACCTCTTCCCCCGCGGTGGCGGTGGCGGTTGCGCACCTCTTCCCCCGCCTTTACCTCTCCGTCCTCCCTCCTCCCGGCCAGTGGTATCGCGCGCCTTCAAGTGTTGGACAGACGCGGACCCCCGAGCCAACTACAACCGCTACGGCCATGAGGACCCGCAGCACCTGCTGCTGCTGCTGCTGCTGCGGCTTCTTCTCATGGGGACGTCTTTTCTTGACGAATACTGTTTCCTCACCCCATCTCCCTTCCCATCTCCTCCCCTGCTCCTCCCCTCCCCTTCTTTCCCCCCTCTTTCCTCCCGCCTCCCTCCTCTCCCCTCTTTCTCCCCTCCTCTTCCCAACCCCTCCCTCCCTCCTTCACCAGTGGTATCGCGCGCCTTCAAGTGTTTGACAGACGCGGACCTCCGAGCCAACTACGACCGCTACGGCCATGAGGACCCGCAGCACCTGCTGCGGCAGCGCCAGCAGCAGCGGCAGCGGCAGCAGTACGCGGGCGGGTTTGGCGGAGGCCCGCGCATGTACACGTCTTTCTTTGACGACGATGACTTTGACCCCAACGACATCTTCAATGCTTTCTTCGGCGTGCATCCGGCACATGGTAGGGAGGGACTGGATGTGTGTGTGTGCAGGGCTTCTGGCTGGGATGGCCTGGGTGCATGCGTGTCAGCAGGGGTTCCCGGGATTTTCAGACGCCTCAAAACGGATTTGGGTTCGGGGCGTGGGAGGAGGCCCGCGCATGTTCGCGTCTTTCTTTGACGACCCGAATGATATTTTCAACGCGTCCTTCAGCGTGCATCCTGCTCATGGTAAGGGAGGGGAGGGGTTGGGACTGGGTGCATGCCTGCAGGGATCTCGGTTGGGCAGGGCTGGGTTCGTGCATGTGTGCACACCCATGGTAGGTCATGGATGGGCTGGGTGCACGGTGCATGCACCCTGCACACGGTAGGGGCTGTGTGTGTGTGTGTGTGTGTGTGTGTGTGTTTTTTTTTTTTTTTTTTTTTTCTGGCAGGGCTGAGTTGGGCTAGGATCTCCCAAACAACAGCATTTAAAAAAAAAAAAAAAAAAAAAAAAAAAAAAAAAAAAAAAAAAAAACTTGCACAACCTCTCTCTCTCCCCCCCCCCTCTTTCCCCCCCCCCCTCCCCCCTCCCCGTCCTCAGCCCAAGCCTTTCGTGGGCACATGCACCAGCAGAGGATGCACCAGCGGCACCAGCAGCAGCACCGGCGGCAGCAGCAGCAGGAGGGGCAGCAGGGGGGGGCAACGGTGAACCCCATATTCCTCATGCAGCTGCTGCCCATCATCCTCTTCCTCGCCTACAACCTCCTGCCCTCGCCTGAAGCGCTGTACCGCCTGCGCAGGGATGATGTCTACTCGGAGCAGCACGTGACCAGGTGAGTGAATCTTTTGAGAATTCTCACAAGTGTCACCAGGTGAGTTTTGAGTCGGCTCAAAACCAGCACCAGCACCAGCACCAGCACCAGCACCAGCACCAGCGGCAGAATGAGCAGCAGCAGGAGGGGCAGCAGGGGGGGCCGACGGTGGACCCCATATTCCTCATGCAGCTGCTGCCCATCATCCTCTTCCTCACCTACAACCTCCTGCCCTCGCCCGACCCGCTCTACCGCCTGCGCCGAGACGATGTGTAATCGGAGCAGCACGCCACCCGGTGAGTGGATAGTGAGTCGTGTGGATTGCTTTGAGACGTCTAGAATTTGAGGCGCCTAGGCTTGAGGCGCCTGACCCGCTGTACCGCCTGCGCAGGGATGATGTCTACTCGGAGCAGCACGCCACCAGGTGAGTGGATAGTGAGTCGTGTGCTTGCTTGGTTGGTTCTGAGGTGAGCAGTCTAGGTTGGAGGCGCCTGGTTCTGCTCAGTCGCCTGGAGCGCTGTACTGGCTACGCGGGGGCGATGTGTTCTCAGGGACGCACGTCACCAGGTGAGTGGATTATGCAATTGGTTCTGATCTGACGCGTCTGTGTTCAGTTACCTAGGTTGGAGAGTGTGGGCCTTTCTTTTGCGGCGCGTGTTCTTAGGATGATGTTTACTCAGAGTATGTGTCGCGTGTGTGTGCCCCACCTTCCCCCCTCCTCCCTTTCTTGATACGGTTCGTCGTGTGTGTGCAGGGTGCTCTCGGTGCCCTACTTTGTGAAGACTGAACCGGACTTTGCCACGACGTATCCTGCGGGGTCGAAAGATCGCATAAAAATAGAAAACAGTGTAGAAGCAGACCACAGGTGAGAAGATTGTGGTGGTTATATACCGTACCACCCCATGTTTTTCTTGTTTTCTCCTTTCTCTCTGTCTCCGCTTCTCTGTTCCCCTCCTCTTTAAGTCTTCATGTGTTTGTTGTGTTACCTCACCTCCCTTACCCTCCTCACCCTGTGGTTTTGTATTTTGCCTGCTTTGTGGGTTTGCCAAACACGTTTTTTTTTTTTTTTTGCCTGAAGGGAGCGTGTGGAGACAATGTGTCATAACGAGCGCGTGCAGCAGGCACACTTCTACAAGTGGGGGCAGGTCCAAAGAGCACGTGCCATGCACATGCCAAATTGCGAGGAGCTCAAGCGCATACGCACCTTGGTATATGGTTAAATGTAGCGCTCTGATTGGTGAATGATGCTGCTTTATTTGTGTGTCACTCCCGAGGCATCATGTGCAGTATTCAGATGCAGATGCCTCCTGCCCATGCTACTAAAGATCCAGCTAGTCTATAGCAGGTGCTAATTTGTATCTCAACGGTGTTATAGAAAGCACTGTGTTACGAGTGCAATTGAGTGAACGAACGAGAATTGCACTATCGAAGCAAGAGTACAATGAGCGAAGGCATGAGCGAAGAATATATAGCGAGACTACAGTGATAACGGTAATGCACTGTGGTTGTCGCGCGACGGGCCTGGGACTGAGGTTGGGAAAAGTGTTGAAGCGGAGGCCCGGAGCGCGGGTTACCCGCCGAGCCGTGAGGTCGGGGTGCGACGTGCGAAGGTGGCGGGCGGATTGTCGATGCGAGGATTGCGAGTGGTAACGGTGCTGACTGTGGTGCTACAGTGATGTACGCGTTGAGCAGGGACGCGAAGTAAGGAAAGAGATATTTTCCTTACACTACCCCCCACCCTTAAGGAGGTCCTCCTTACGAAAGCGCGTGTACATCCCTGAAGTTCCGGCTGCGCAGATACTCGGTGAGGACGGGGTGGTTTTCGATTCTGTCCAGGGGAACCCAATTGTCTTCGGTGGGTGTACGGTCCTTCCAGCGGAGTAAGAACTCGATCCTTCGGGCTCCTCGAGGGTCGCGAACTCTGTGACTCAGGATTTTCTCGGGGGTGATGATTGGTTCAGTTGGTGGTCGTGTCATGCTGGCTGGGCGATTGCGTGGCAGTTGGCTCGTGGACGGGACGTAAGGGCGAAGTAGGCTGACGTGGAATGAGGGGCTGACGTACCAGTCAGCAGGGAGGAGGAGGTGGGCGGTGACGGGTGTAAGCATGTGGCTTATGCGAAATGGCCCGCAGTATCGGGGGCGGAGTTTCGGAGTGATGGGCAGTCGGAGGTTCTGAGTGTCAAGTAAAACTAAGTCGTCGGGCTGGTAAGTGACGGGTCTGCGGTGGCGGTCGGCGTTGCGTTTAGCGATGATGTTCGATTTTTTTATTGCGTCTCCTGCCCGGGTCCGTGCTGCTTGTAATATTTCGGCGAACTGTTGCGCGCGTGGAACCGGGTTGTCGGGATTCGGGGTCATGGGTACTGTTGGGTCTTGTCCGTAATTCAGGTAAAACGGTGACTGTTGGGTCGTGGCGGATGGGGCGTTGTTGTATGCGAATTCGATGAGTGGCAGTTGCTGTTCCCACGTGTTTGGGTCGTCGCACGTGGCCCGGATGAGCTGTTCCATGGTCTGATTTGTCCGTTCTGTCTGTCCGTCTGTTTCGGGGTGGTACGATGATTTAAACTGTAGTCGCGTGCCGAACTGCTGCCACAGGTTCCGCCAGAAGTTGCTGGTGAATTTCGTGTCTCTGTCGCTGATGATCGATGCTGGTATCCCGTGCAGTCGAACGACGGTAGAGATGAAGAGGCGGGCTGTTTCTTCGGCTGTGATTGATTTTTTGCAGGCTGCGAAGTGTGCCATTTTCGTCAGTCGATCGACGACGACCAGGATCGCGTCATTTCCACTCGCCCCGGCCGGTAACCCCGTGACGAAGTCCATCGTCACCTGCTGCCAAGCACGCTCTGGAGGGGGGATTGGCTGCAACTGTCCCGCCGGCCGCTTCCGTGTTGACTTCATGATCTGGCAAGTGGGACACGATGCCACGTGTCGCTGCACGTCGGTCAACATTTCGGGCCAGTAATAATACCGCTGCAGCTGCTGCCGTGTTTTTTCTACTCCGAAATGCCCCGAAGTAACTCCGTCGTGTGCCTCTTGTAACAGTAATTCCCGTAGCAGTGTATACCCAGGTACCCAAATGCGGTCAGTCCCGGTTTTTACGTAATAGACTCCCTTTGCTGCTGCGAACTGCTGCGAATTTCCTCCTGTGAAGAATGGATCCGTCTAGTACCCGTGGGTGAATAGGCCTGTCAGTAGCGGGCTTGTCTGGGCGAGTAGTATTGCGTGGATCTGGGCAGTGGGGCGGGTCAGTGCATCGGCGATGTTCGAGGCTCCCTTTTTGTAAGTGACCGTGTAGTGGAAGTTTGACTCGAGGAAATCGAGCCACCGAATCTGTCGTGGGTTGAGGTGGGGCTGTGCGCGGAGGTACTGTAGTGATCGGTGGTCTGTCCGTACTGTCACGTCTGCGCCGGTCAAGTAGCAGCGCCACACTTTGAACGCATGCACGATCGCGAGCATTTCGCGGTCGTGTATCGGGTAATTTCGCTCGGGCGGATGCAGTTTTCGTGACTCGTATGCGATGGGCTGTAGGCCGTTGCCGAATTCCTGTAGCAGTACGGCTCCAATGGCGATGTCGCTTGCGTCTGTAACAACCTCGAAGGGGCGGTGTGGGTCGGCGATGCGCAGGACGGGCGGTGAACAGAGAACATTTTTCAGGGCAGAGAAGGCAGCATGCTCTTTCTCCCCCCACGTAAAAGCGACCCCCTTTCGCAGTAAATCCGTCAGCGGGGCAGTCAACTGTGCCATGTCGGGGACGAACCGACGAACATAATTAACGAACCCTAAAAAACTCTGCAGTTCCGTGATGTTCGTCGGGGGACGCCACGCTTTTACCGTATCCAGCTTCTTTGGGTCGATTTCAACTCCAGCCTCCGAAATAACGTGCCCCAAAAATTCTAGTCTGTCCCGAAAAAACTCGCACTTAGAGCCCTTGGTGAGTAACCGATGTTCCTCTAAAACTTTAAAGACTGCTTCGAGATCCGCTAAGTGCTGCTGCTTGTCGCGACTGTAGACGAGGATGTCGTCGAGGTAAACTATCACGCATTTATCTAAGAGTGGCCTAAATGCCTCGTTCATGGTCATCTGAAAAGGCGCCGGTGCGTTGGTCAGCCCGAATGGCATCACAGTGTACTCGAACGACCCGTACCTAGTCCTGAAAGCTGTTTTGGCGCAGTCCGATGGTTCGACCCTAATCTGATGGTAACCTCCCCGTAAATCTATTTTTGAAGAAACCCGTGCTGTTCGTAGTTGGTCGATCAGTTCGTCGGCGCGGGGAATTGGGTACCGCGACTTGACTGTTACCCTGTTGAGCGCTCGGTAATCGATGCACATGCGAAACCCTCCGTCTTTTTTCGTTGTGAACAGTATCGGTGCGGCGAACGGTGACGAACTTGGTCGAATAAACTGCTTCTCTAACAAGTAATCTAACTGCTTCCTCAGTTCGTCGAGCTCGGGCTGTGTCAGTCTGAACTGGCGCTGTACAGTTGGCTGTGCCCCTGGTTCTAACTCGATCCTATGATCATGCGCCCGCTGAGGTGGCAGTCCTTCTGGTAAGTCGTCTGGAAAAATCCCCGGGTACCGTTTCAATAGTTCCTGTAGTTCGGGCGGTACTGTTGTCAACAGTTTCTGAAAATCACTCGGCTGCTCTGCTTCCTCTACTACTGCGATGTCTACTGCGTACACGTCAGCCCCAGCAGCGACAGCCCGTTTCATTGTGATAGCGTTGACGTGTACCGTTGAAGACTCGGGCGACTGCCAGCGAGGTAGCTCGACCCAGTTACCACTACTTCGCACGGTGCAGCTACCCGTCGTCCAGTCAATTCGCGGGTTATATCGTCGCAGCCAATCACGTCCCAGTAAAATATCGTGCCCATCCAGTGTCGTTGCAAGCATTTCCTGTGTAAACCGGAAATTTCCCCTGCAGCGGACTTTGACTCGCTCTACCTTCTCCCGTATGGCCAGTGGCGTGCCGTCGACTAAGCGTGCGTCTATCTCCGGTAAGCAACGGCTAAGTGTCAGCTGCAGTTTTCGTGCGGTTGCGGTATTAACTAAACTGTGGCTTGCTCCTCCGTCGATAAAAATCTTCACTGCTGCTCCCTGTATTTTCCCGTGGATCAGTACTGGGCAATCCGTCGTTGTACCCTCCTTATTCATCCGAGCCCGATCGATGGCGTGAATCGGTACTGTGACTCGGTGAGGGTCGGTGCGGTTGGGCGAGCAGGCAGTCTCGTCAGTAGTTGGCCCGACTTCTACTGACTGCTGGCGTTTCCCTGCCTCTGAGACTCCCTTCCCTGCTCTGCTCCGCGGCGCCTTAGCTCCTCTGGGCATTCGCTCTTGCGATGGCCCGGCCTGTTGCAAGCAAAGCAGCGCCCCTTAAACGGTGCGGCAGCTGCATTCGTTGCAACAGCGTTTACAGTGGCGTGCTCGATCGGTCCCCGAGGACGATGTCCGTAGTAGGACCCCGGTCTCGGTCGGCGTAGAATGTCGATTTTCTCGGCGAGCGCGAGAATCTCGTTGAAGTTTGAGAGTCCGCGCAGCATGATTTCGTGCGAGATATCCGGCTTCAGCCCTCCGACGTAACGGTCCACCCGCTCCGCTTCGTGCATGTAGCCGACCTGCTCGCAAAGTGCGAGAAAACCGCTCGTGTAATCTTGAACCGACCCGAGCTGCCGCCAAGTGCGCAATCTCTGACGCGCCGAAATAGAAGCCGCGATCGGCTCGAAGTGCGCCCGAAGCCCTGCGCACCACGCATCCCACGTGCTGTATTGGGCGGTTTCGCAGAATGAACTCCAGGTGACAGCTGGACCCGTGGGCCCTTCCTCTTGCAACGGTGGCTCGTAGGCGCGTGGCGACGTCACGATGACTCGCCACCAGTCCATGGCGGGGCCCCTTAGCAGCGAAACTGCATACCGAATCTTCGCTGCGTCCGACTCGACGTAATTCGCGTCGAAGAAGACGTTCATCGTGAAGACCCACGATTGAACCGTCGGACCTCCACGCTGGCTCGGGTCGAAGCAGGGCGGGCGTTGCGGCTTGAGTGGCATTGGTGCCATGATGGCCTGTTCGCCACTTGTCGCCGCGAACTCCACGTGCCGACGGGCTTCGCGAGGCTCCCGCGGGCTTGGTGCGACCCTGTTTCCTCCCATGCCAGGCATCGGCTGGGCGGCGCCATCGCTGGCTGCGCCTGAGCGCTGTCCCACGCTGTTGTTTTGTGTTGGTGTGCCGGACGAGATGACGATCGGCTCGTCTGATTGTGCAGATGCGTTTGTCGGTGCGTGTGGTGGCGCTGGAGTGTTCATCGTTGATTGCTGATGTGTGGAGTCACGTTCCGCCGTGAGCGTCGCGATTTCGAGCGCCGAATCTTCGAGTTGGCGCACCAGACGGTCGAGCTGCTCCTGCGTCAATGTGGCGAGCGTGAATTCGGCCATGGCGGGGGTGTCGGGCGAGCTCAACGAGAGCCTCAGTCGTGGCCGTGCGTGCTTACGAGAGAGCACTACGAGCGGCGGTGCTGTGTCGCTGAGGGACGTCTACCCCCCCCAAAAAATTGAGATAGTGGGGAAGCGAAGGTGTGGGTGCGGTCCGAGAAGAGGTCGTAGGCTCTGAATACCAAGTGTTACGAGTGCAATTGAGTGAACGAACGAGAATTGCACTATCGAAGCAAGAGTACAACGAGCGAAGGCATGAGCGAAGAATATATAGCGAGACTACAGTGGTAACGGTAATGCACTGTGGTTGTCGCGCGACGGGCCTGGGACTGAGGTTGGGAAAAGTGTCGAAGCGGAGGCCCGGAGCGCGGGTTACCCGCCGAGCCGTGAGGTCGGGGTGCGACGTGCGAAGGTGGCGGGCGGATTGTCGATGCGAGGATTGCGAGTGGTAACGGTGCTGACTGTGGTGCTACAGTGATGTACGCGTTGAGCAAAGAGAGATTTTCCTTACACACTGCAACATTTACGTCAGACCCACAGATGAAGCACAATGAAACGGGAACAAGTCTGTGTTCGCTGCATCGTGGTCCTACTTTACAATTGGTTCGATACCCTTTGAGTGACGCAAGAGCTGTGGGAGGAAACCGTCGGTGGTCGAGGCAGTTGATCTCCCAGCCCAGCACGTCAAGATGAAGTGAACTTTCCTCCCGCGTCGCGGTGCCTCAAGCTTGATTTTCCAACTATTCATTCGAATATTTTGGAGTTTTTTTCAACTATCCATTCGATTACTAGCTCTCTGTGGTGATTTTGCTTAAAGTCATCTCTGAGGTTGGTTGTTTGTATTTAAGGGCAAGATCCCAGTTGTGCTTCTGGTTATATGCTCCCTTTTAGTGTAGTCTCAACCTAAAAAGAATATAAACAAAATCCGATGCCCGTCCATGAAATGATTCACCACCACCAACCACTCTAGCTCTGCTTGTCTATTGGTCCAAACCAAGTTCAACCCACGCAGGCAAGGAACCAAGAGACCTCCTCTGCCCGCGCCGCCTCCAGGGCTGGGCGTGCAAGAATGGCGGCGCGACGTGAATGCGCCAGCCAATCTCTCGTTTGCGCTAATCTGCGCCAAACTGCCCCTTTCTGCTCCAATCCCACCATCTCCTGATTTTCTTGCGACGAGCATTCCCCCGAGCAACTGGGAGCGAGTTGCGTGCTCGAACAGGCACGAGAGCATTTTTCTTCCTCTATTCTTCTCTCCTATCGAATTGCTCCTCCCCACCCTTCCATACTTGCCCCAATATCAACCCTTTATTTCAGCCCACATTTTCAAACTGTCTGTGCGTCTCTGCCTGCGCTCCTAACACGTCCACGTTGCCCCATTCCAATGTGAACATCACATGCGCCACCCGTCAACCATTTCTGCACGCCGCTGCCCCTCGACCCCAAACTCACTCTGCACCTACTGCCTTCCAGCACAGGCTTCCGCCGCACGTTTCATTTCGCAAAGCGCGCCTCGGTGTGGAGCCGCCGCTGGTGCCGCGCCCTTCCCGCCTCGCAAAAGCTTGCCCTCACAAACCAGCGCGCCCGCGTAGCTGATCTTCTTAGTCGTCGATGTCTCGCTGAAACTAGTTTTGTTAGTCCGTCTGAGACACCCTTGCGTTTCGCTAGTTGCGTCTTTCGGCTCCTTTACTTGTCACTTAACCTAGTACCACTCACTGCCCTATGCAGAGATAGAGCCTGGTCGAGTATTTCCACAGTTAGCTCTCTGAAGCACCGAACAGCCCCACCGCTGCATGCAAGCATTTTGATTATCGACGTCGCTGGTGACAGGCGGTTATTCTGGTCGCACTTCACGACTGCCTTTAGCCTTTAGTTCTCCTGCCGGAGTAGAAACAATCAACAAATTTGTCAGACTGTTGTCACAAAAGTTGGTTATCGGTCTCAAGACTGACGGTAGTCGGTTTCCAGCTCGCCGCAACCTAGTCCTTGAGAATGGCGCCGCTAAAAGTCTAGCCTCTCACAAGTATCCACTTTCTGGACAGCATAACGTGACCCATCTCACCGCCTGTCATCATCCCGTTCCCGCAAATGGCGGCAGCTGTTTCCTGGTGACCAGTTTCCGCCTTTAAATCTTGTTGCGAATCAAGCGCCGATCTCTGTTGACACGCCCCTTCTGATTCCGGACCACTCACCATGAGCAACGAGCCGCTTCTCCCCACCTACTCGCCGCAAGCAGCCCGGCCGGCACCACCAGCCGCTGCCGCCGCGATCAGCAACACCCTCAGCAACGCGTCCAGCCACGCGCTTAGCCACGCGCTTAGTAACGCGTCTAGCGACGCGGCATCGGAGCACCTGCAATACGACGACGAAAGCCGCCATGTCCCCGTGTCTTCCGGCGGCAACGGCGGGGACGTCGCGGTGCCGATTAACCGTCTCACTAGCGTCGAGTGGGCGGAAATGGGGGCGCTGGTAGCGGAAACCACGCCGGAGTATCAGCCAATCGCGATGCCGCCAGACCAGCAGCCCGAGCCGCGCGACGACGGGTCGCAGTCAGCGGTCAATCAACGTCAGGTCGCGGCGGCGCCGCAGGACTCGCGGCGGCGCGGCGGCGCGGCCAAATACCTCCGCACGAGCCTCTACTCTTTATTCTTTGGGTCGCGCATTAATCTTCTGCTGGTGTTCGTGCCCGTGACGTTTTTCTGCGTGGCGCATAATTTACCTTCTAACGTCATATTCACATTCAGCCTGCTCTCGCTAGTCCCGCTTGCGGAGCGGCTCGGCTTTGTAACGGAGCAGCTTGCATTGTGTACGAACCCGACCCTGGGAGGGCTTCTTAACGCGACGTTCAGTAACGCGCCGGAGCTGATCATCGTTATGGTGGCGCTGCGAAGCGGGCTTGTACGCGTTATACAGCTCTCCCTTTTAGGGTCCATTCTGGGGAACCTTCTGCTGTGTCTCGGGAGCGCGTTTCTGGCCGGCGGGATGGTGCATCGGAACCTGCGCTTCAACAAGCCAGCGGCGCAGATGAATTGCGGTGAGTGCGGGGAACCGGAACGCGGTGCGAAGAAGGACGCGAAATTATAAGGACGCACACACGAGGTTCACATGTCGCGCTTCGACAAGCTCTCTGCGCGCAATGTCCTCCTCCGCCGGTGCGCAATGTTCTGCGCCCTGGGCGCGCGCACGCGGTTTTCTACCACAATGCGATCTGATCCTCTCGAATCAGCTCTCATCCGTTTCCTCCCTGTGCCCTCTCAAGCCTGATATCCCAATGCCCGAACCCTTCAAAGCCTTCTCTCCCCATCATTCCCCCATCTCGCTCACCTCTTTCCTCCCCTTCTCTCCACTCCGCCCCTTTCCCCTATGTCCCCGCCAGGTGCGCTGACGCTGGCGATGAGCGGGCTGCTCTTCCCGAACCTGCTCCACGCGACGGGCACGGAGCTCCACGAGAAGGCCGCATCCTGCTCCCCTATATCCCCTCCTCATTTTCATTCTCCCCTCCTTGTTCCCCAGGCGCTCTCATGCTCGCGATGAGCGGGCTGCTCTTCCCGAACCTGCTCCACGCGACGGGCACGGAGCTCCACGAGAACGACTCGGAGCTCGCGCTCTCGCGCCTCGCCGCCGTGCTCATGCTCGTCGCGTACTTCGCCTACATCTACTTCCAGCTCTTCACACATAAAGACCTATTTGAAGGCGGCCCGGACGGCGACGGCGGCGCGGACGGCGACGCGGAGGGGGGAGGGGAGGCGGAGGAGGAGGAGGAGCATTCGGTGCTGGGGTTTTGGGGCGGCGTGTTTTGGCTCGCGCTGGTGTCGGCGTTAATTAGTGTGATTAGTGACTATTTGGTGAACAGCGTGGATGGCGCTGCGGAGGAGTGGAACGTGCCTGTATCGGGGCTGTGCGTGGTGGTGCTGCCGCTCGTTAATAACGTGACTGGTGAGTCGATTGGGGGGAAGCAGAGAGAGAGAGAGAGAGAGAGAGAGAGAGAGAGAGAGAGAGAGAGAGAGAGAGAGAGAGAGAGAGAGAGAGAGAGAGAGAGAGAGAGAGAGAGAGAGAGAGAGAGAGAGAGAGAGAGAGAGAGAGAGAGAGAGAGAGAGAGAGAGAGAGAGAGAGAGAGAGAGAGAGAGAGAGAGAGAGAGAGAGAGAGAGAGAGAGAGAGAGAGAGAGAGAGAGAGAGAGAGAGAGAGAGAGAGAGAGAGAGAGAGAGAGAGAGAGAGAGAGAGAGAGAGAGAGAGAGAGAGAGAGAGAGAGAGAGAGAGAGAGAGAGAGAGAGAGAGAGAGAGAGAGAGAGAGAGAGAGAGAGAGAGAGAGAGAGAGAGAGAGAGAGAGAGAGAGAGAGAGAGAGAGAGAGAGAGAGAGAGAGAGAGAGAGAGAGAGAGAGAGAGAGAGAGAGAGAGAGAGAGAGAGAGAGAGAGAGAGAGAGAGAGAGAGAGAGAGAGAGAGAGAGAGAGAGGGAAGCAGAGAGAGAGAGAGAGAGAGAGAGAGAGAGAGCACACGTCCGCCATCCTCTTTGGAATCCGCAACAAGCTAGACGACTCCCTCTCCATCGCCGTCGGCTCGTCCATCCAGCTCTTCTACTCCTCTCAATCTCTCTTAACCCCCCAACCTTTCTTCCCCTGCTCCCCCCCTTCCCCCTCCCTTCCCCCCCCCTCACTCCACCAGAGCACACGTCCGCCATTCTCTTCGGAATCCGCAACAAGCTAGACGTCTCGCTCTCCATCGCGGTCGGGTCGTCCATCCAGCTGGCCATGTTCCTCATCCCGCTCGCCGTCCTCGGCGGGTGGGCAATGGACGTCCCCATGGACCTCAACTTCCACCGCTTCGAGACCTGCACGCTCTTCATCACCGTCCTCGCGACCGTGCTCACGCTGCATGAGGGCTCGGCGAATTGGCTCAAGGGATTCATGTTCGTGCTCATGTATCTCATTCTTGCCGCGACGTTCTTCAATCATAAAGAGGATTATTTGGAGCCGCAAGCAGCAGCAGCGGTCGCAGATGCTGCCGCGGGGGCCGCCGCCGCCGCCGCAGCAGCAGCAGGAGGCGTGCAGACCATTGCGTCGCCGGTGGTTTTGTAACCCTAACAAACCCACCCCCTTGTGCCCTGGTGGGGAGAGCGGTGGAATCTCCGAATCCTGCTACGCGTACAGCCGGTGTCCCTCTCTCCCTGGTTCGTCTGGGGGCTTCTGCTCACCTGCCAGTCCCTCCTTGCCTCTCCCTCCTCAAGCTGTTCGTTCTCTCTTCCTCTCCCTCAAGACCACCTTTTCCATCATTTTCTCTCCCTCTCAATTTTGGTACGGGATGCCCGCCACCTGCCCTGGGCAAGCCTTGCTTGCTGACTGTGTGTGTGTCCGTATGGCTGGGATTTGTTGCTGCTTTCCTCACTCCCTCACTTCTTCCATTCACCTTCTCCGAAAGGGTGTCTTTCCACAACAGCAGCAGCAGCAGCAGCTGAACGACTGTTGAACACTTTTGCTGGAGCAGGCCACTTTAATCGGCAACGCCTGGATAGGCAAAAAATATACTGTACTAGACTGTGAGCCGCGTGTCGTGCTTGCATTTAGAGTGCCCCTCCAGGGATAACTTGCACAAATTTCAGAATACACTTTAGGTTACACACACACTGATTTCCTAAAAATCTCCTAACATTGTTTGCTGCTCTGTTCCCAATGTCCCAACCGTGTTTATTTAACACAATCATTAGCCTTCCTTTTGGGGATAGCAAGGAATACACCTAGAAATACATGAGTGAACTTTCACACCTTCTTGCCAGGGGAGTAAACGTCATACGGTATGATCTTACATTTGTCGTCCCTCATAGGCTAAACAAACACCTTATCTCTAGTTTGAGATCACTTTGCTCTAAAATACCCTGAGTAACACTTGGGTTGATGCAAAGCTGTTCATTGGGAACGCTTGATACAATCACACATGTGCACGTCCTCATTTTCAACCAATTTGAGCTGTCACCCCCCCCAGACCCTCCGGCATGGACCCACCCCCAACTATGTCGCAAACACATCATTTTAGCCGTAAAGGCCGGGACTGCTTCGGACTTACCTGGTTCCCCCTGAAGTCGCAGATTATGCAGGTTTCGCTCCCTCGGACCCTCCCGACTCAAGGTAAGTTTCTCTCAACTAAGCCACCCAGTGCCCCCAGTCAACCACCCGTTTTTTCCCCAGCTCGCGCCATCGAACACGCCTGCCAACCTTCAGCAACTTGGCCACCCCTCGACAACTCCGAGCAACGTTCTCCTACTACGACCCGACAAACTCAACCACACCCCTCATTATGCCCCCGGGCTACGTTGGCAACTGCTATTGCTATTCGATCGATTTCCCTTCGTCGCACCCGAACCACGCCTCGTCACCCACAGACTGCAACGCACACCTCTAGACAAAAAACTACGACACGCAGTCACGAACTCCTCGAACCTTCGGTAAGAACCCTCACTATCTTCTTGGGTTTGCCCGCCCGCCATACCATTTGAAAATCAAGTACAGCTTCACTCACAGACCCAAACACCCCCCCGGTAAGCATCTCCGACCTCATTAGTTTATCCCATGGCCCTCCCTTCGAGACGGGAAAATACCCTCCCCTCGAGGACACGACACAACAATCATTTCCTCCCCCCACGGCGCCCCGAGGCACCGCCTTCTGCACGCGACAACCCCCACGTGGGCCGGGCGGTTATCTCGCCTATTACCCTTTCGCGTTCTACACGGCTCCGCAGCTCCACACCCACTGGTACCTCGAGCGTTGCGGGCTCTGCCCCCTTCGTCCTTGCCTTGAAGTGCTGTTCGGCTGACTGCTCCGCTCCGCTCATACTTAACACCCACCGTCCGACGATCTCAACATCCACTTCCTCGTTGCCTCCCACAACCCCTACCCTTTCTTTCTGCTCCCTAGTCATGGCCGACATCCCGCAGTTCGACGAAACGATGGAGCTGACGGACGAGGACATTGAAGCGATGGAGCTCCCTGACGATCCCGCTGGCTCTAACCTCCCATGCACCCGCTCGCCAACGGATCTTCCTACGTCCAAGAAACCCTGCGTTGATGTCGACCCCTGCCCGCGGTCCCAGGACTCGGCGGTCGGCACTTCCGGAGTCATGGAAGAACACGCAGCCTTACCCGAGCAGCCCGTTCCGCAGCCCACCAGCACTAACGCCTCTGCAGCTGCCGTCTTCGCCTCCGCACCGAGCGACACGAACCCTACCCCAACGACCCCCGGCCCGAGCTCCTCTGCCCCGCACGGCCGTGCCGAGGCTGCCGATACGAACAATGCGACGACCTCGCCTGCGGAGACGCCCCCCGAACCCGAGCTGCCGCGCTCCTCCCGTCAGCCGGCTCCGCCCCCCCCCCGATGCTGCCCCCGCCTGTCCTCATGACGAGCAGCCGGTCTGTGGTCACCCTGCTCTTCCCAGAAGCAGGTGCTGACGCCATCCGCGCCACGCTCATCGCAAAAATCCTCGCGAAGCTGAAGCCCCCCCTTTTCGACTGCGGATATGTTCCCGACGCCCGCCCCACCAACGGCGAGACCATGCGCTTCGCGGGACGGGCCTACGCGACGATCTGCGTCTCCTGGCCGACCCAGCAATCTGCTGACGAGTTCCTGGCCATCTTCAACCACCCCATCGAGCTCTCACCGTGCCGCTCCATCTCGGTCAAGCCGTACACTGACCCCTACCCCGATTTCACCAAGGCCAAGGCGGACGGCGCCCCCATTCTCTTCCTGCGCTGAGTCCCTGCCCGCTTCGAAGAGGCGAATATTCTTGCCTACCTGGTGCCCGCTTGGCTGGCGGGCATCGAGTCCTTCCACCGCATGAAAGACCCCTACGACGGGGTCTTCCTCCCCATACTCACCGGAATCCCAACTCCGCTCCCCACAGATCCGGACTTCCGCACCATTCCAGCTCGGATTCCCGTCGGCGGTAACGACCCTGACATCCTCGTCAACATCTCCACTCACGTCTGTTCCATCTGCGCAAGTAACCACCGTGTGGAGGGCCACGGGATCTTCCCCTGTAAGCGTAAGGGACGGATCGGCAACAAATTGCAGCTCACGGTTGCCCAACTGCAGAAGGCCAACAGTACAGCCCCCCGCCTCGCCTCCCTTTCCCAGCCCATGCCTCTACCCCCCCCCCCCCCCCCCACCTTTCTATTGCTTTTACATCTTACCAGTATGCTGCCTTCTAGTCAGGACCCCCAAACACCCGCCCCCCTCCCCCCTCTCCTCACCCGCAGTCACTAACTTCCCCTTCCAACCCCCCTGCCCCTGCCCCCCCTTTCTGATCCCGACCTACAGGAGGCTCCATTGGAGCCCGACCCGCCTCCTATGCCTTCCGCGCCGACCCCGCTCTTCTATTCATCGGCACGGACCTGGATGTCGAGCCATGGACCTGTGTGGCCTTCAACTTCGAATGTGGCCCAGCGCTCGACAGTGCGCTGCAGCACATGGAGTCCGCAAAGCACCGCGCTCAGCTGCTCGCCAACACAAGCAAGAAGGCTCCCAAGGAGCCGTTCCTCTCCTGGAGCTACCCGGCGTTCCTGAAGGAAGGGGGCTTCGAGGCCTTCCTCAAGCAGCTGAAGAGCAGTTCCCGCGCCTAGATGTCATACACATGCCAATGCTTCGATGCCCTTGCTGTTTTTGTCTGAGATGTGCTGCACTGGAATACTCAATAAAACTCGGCCCTGCAGGCTCGTTGACCGTCATCTCCAAATCTGCCCCTCTCCCCCAATCGAGGAAAACTAAAAACTTAGTTACTAGCCTCACCAGTAAGGAACCCATCCGCGCACACAAGAGAACAGCCAGGGAACTTGGTGGCTGAATTCGGCCACCAAGCCAACCAGAACCCGAAACCCAACACACAAACCTGGTGTATATACACCTCCCCAACAAACACAATGCGCTTACAATAGTTAATCCCAAACCCCACTGCCCTGCATGGCCATCCCAACTACGCAGGATGCGACACACCGTCCGCGAGCGCACTACAGTGACAACTCCCCCCTCACCCACAAGACCACAGCTCAGCACTCGGTGCCGCCTTCCCCAAGCCAACCCCACAGCGCCTTGGGACAATGCGCTGACCCCTCACTTCACTCGACACCCGCCCTACCCTCCCTCGCAACAAACCTCCCGAAGACCCTGGCCGTGGATACGCACTCTCTCCCGTGCGGTGGCCTCCACAGCATGGCCATATTAACACACCTACGCTTCCTATGCATCAACGTGAACGGAATCAACGAGACACGCAAAATGGATGAACTAAAGTCTTGGCTGGCGAGACTTCCTGCACCCGCTGACCTGGTCATCCTCATCGACACCCGGCTCATCCACAGAATCCCCAACCTCGACCTAAAACTTAGACCTCACTCCTCCGCTCACGCCCCAGCACTACTCTCTACCGAGAGCGCCACAGGGAGGCCCACGCTCATCGGCGGTGTCTCCATTCTCTCTTTCAATAGGGCCATCTCGCTGTCCTCTCCGGCCCCCTCTGCAGACGGCAGACTAATCACTGTACACCTCAACTATCTGCGTGAGCAAATCTGCTCATCGCCATCTACGCCACACAATTCTATGGACGCATAGTATGGTGGACCTCCACACTCGTCCCGGCACTGGAAGCCCCCACCGCCGCCTCCGCATCCATGCTAGCAGGAGACTTCAACTCGCTCGTCCTTCCCATCGATAGGAATCGCCCTCCCAAAGACTTCGAGGCTCGTGAGGGCGCCTCTTTAGCCAAACTCATGGAAAACCACGCCCTGGTCGACACCTTCCGCGAACTCTTCCCCACGCCGACCAACGTCTTCTCCTTCTTCGGGAGGCAACGTCTCAACACTGCGACACCCCCTACCTCCTCCCGACTCGACAGAATATACATCTCCCGAGCTTTCATATCACGCCTCACTGCAAGTCCGTACATCCAGACCCGCACGGCAATCACGGACCACCTCTACGCCCCTCTCTGCTCGCTCAGCTTCATCAACCCCACTGTTGCCCCCCGCCCCTGGCGCCTCCGACAGCATCTACTTATGCGCCCCCATGTCTCTCAAATTATCGACTCCTACCTCG